TACAATATTGTTTGTTTATGTATAATTGAAGATGAAGGATCCAAAGGATAAATGTGATTTCTTGGAATGGGTTGATGATGATGAAGAAATTATAACCAAGAACGAGAATAAGAAAGATGAAGAACATGATTTCAATACTGAAGTGAAGATTGCAATATTGGAACATGATTTCAGTGAGTACAAGATGAAGACTGATAAGGAATGTAAGAGTTTTAGAAAGGAATTAGATAAATGAAATGTTTAGTGTTGATGTTTGTTGTTTTGTTTGTAGTGAAGTACATGGTTTAGTGTTAAGTTTATTATGTAAGGAAAATGTACTTTGAAATTATCAGGATATGTATCTTCAAAGTAGTTTCATTATACTCATGTAAAATGGTTACGAAGTGGGAATGAAAAGAAGGTATTTGTGAAGACTGATACATATAGAAGGTGTTTATGAAGGCTAATAGTCCATAAAAGTAACATACTTTTTATTGATTGAAATAGCAAGGGCAAAACAGTCCATAATAAGATTACACTTTATCAAATGATAATAGGAAGGGAAAAATAGTCCATAAAAGGATTGCACTTTATCAAATGATAAACAGGGACAAAATGTCCATAAAACATGTGTTTGACATTATGCATGTAATTTGTGTTGTAAATGGTTTTTAAACACAAGGGCAGTTTTATTGAAAACACACATAATAGCAACATACTTTTATTGATTGAAAATAGCAAGGGCAAAATAGTCCATAAAAGGATTGCACTTTATCAATGAATAAGAAGGGCAAAATAGTCCATAAAAGGATTGCACTTTATCAAATGATAATAACAGGGACAAAATAGTCCATAAAACATGTGTTTGACATTATGCATGTAATTTGTGTTGTAACTGGTTTTTAAACACAAGGGCAGTTTTATTGAAAACACACATAATAGCAACATACTTTTATTGATTGAAAATAGCAAGGGCAAAATAGTCCATAAAAGGATTGCACTTTATCAAATGATAATAGGAAGGCCAAAAAAGTCCATAAAAGGATTGCACTTTATCAAATGATAATAACAGGGACAAAATAGTCCATAAAACATGTGTTTGACATTATGCATGTAATTTGTGTTTTAAATGGTTTTTAAACACAAGGGTAGTTTCACTGAAAACACACATAATAGCAACATACTTTTATTGATTGAAAATAGCAAGGGCAAAATAGTCCATAAAACCTGTGTTTGACATTATGCATGTAATTTGTGTTGTAAATGGTTTTTAAACACAAGGGCAGTTTTATTGACAAAATGGTCCCACAAAACAGTTTTTACCAATTTTAACATAGTTTTAACAAATAGGGGCAAAATGGTACATTGTTATAATATGCATAAAAGGTAATAAACTACATATCAAAGCATAATTAAACCACATAATCAAGCATGTGCACATGGCACTAAATGTTGGTAAATGTGCACAACACCAAAAGACAAGCCTAAGCATCAAAAAGACAAGCCTAAGCACCAAAAGATGTGCATTAAGCACCAAAAGATGTGCCATTTCAAAGTATCTGACATAATCCTAATAGAACACACTTATCCTAGTTTATAGTAACTGGATTTTCAGTACTTTCCCCACTTCCATCTTTTGTTACCACCTTCTTCCTTAACTTCAGTTTCGTGATCCTCTCAGAAGGTAATCGCCTTTTGTTCGCAACAAAATGCTAAAAAAAAAAACAGGTTGATGCTGATGGTGATGATTTTCTTGATGGTCAATCTCATCCTCTTGTTGTTCAATTTCATCCTCCTGGTGGTCTTCAATATCGCCTTCTTCAACAGCCTCTTCTTCACCAATTCCATCTTCACTAACCCCATCTTCGTTGACCCCATCTTCATTGACCCCATCTTCACTAATCCCATCTTGACTAACCCCTTCTTCAACATCCCCTTCACTAACAGTTGCTTTATTTGCTGCATTGTTAAAACAAAAATAATTATTATTATACAAATGTAGATGAATGAATAATCAAAATAAAAACGAACCTTCTTTGAGCAATGGACATCGCCTCTTGTTGTGTCCTTCTTGATGACAATTACTTTGGGCCTTCCTGGCATTCTCCTACGCCGAGGTGGTAATATGGGATCAAATAGAACATCAGGCCACATGTTAGCTCCATTTATTGGTTTGACTGGATACCTATAGCAACTTCCAAACATGCTTGTTTTAAACCATACGGCTACATAGTCCTCTGCATTTCCATTCAGGTATAATATAGCAGCAATGGCATGCATACAAGGAATACCACTGAGTTGCCAGGCTCTGCAACCACAAGTTTTGCTTTCAAGGTGAACAACATAAACTTCATGGGCTAATTTTACTTCATATTCTTCCTCGCCACTTGGAATAACATCCCAGTACCTGAAATCATATTAAGAAGGTAAGTTATTTCATATTAAATCACTTACAATTAAATAATATACCTTTGTTCTTCTTTCATCTTCTCAATCCTCTTTCTAATAGAGGGGCAGATTTCCATGTCCCACTTATGCCCCTTATCTTTTGATTGTACATCCTCTCCATCACGTACAATCTGATTTCTTCCAGCATTGTTATTATTGGTTTCTTCCGGGCCTCTACAATTGCTGCATTGAAAGATTCAGATATACCGTTTTCCACGGCATCACAACAAATCTGAGGTTCAAAGACTGCTCTGCACCATGTATTTGGGTCTCTTTCTATCAGGTGCTCATAAGATTCTATGGACATTGTACGAATTTCCCTCATGTATGATCAAAAATTGGAATCGGTTGTAGCCTTTGCAGCCCTCCAAAATAACCTCCTAAACTCAACACCCGTGAACCCCTTCTTCTTAAAGTTGGCATAGATGTGTCGGGCACAATTCCTATGCTCACATGATGGTGCCCTTTCCTTAACAGCCTCCATTAAACCCTACAAGGTGATAACAAATTTCAGTTTTAAAGTACATAATAACACATATAGTAAGTAAAATGTAAACTATAACACACCTTGTGTTGGTCTGAAATAATTGTAAGACCCCTACCATCTCCCATCTCAATGTCCTCAAGTAGAAGATCACAGAACCACATCCAAGTTTCCTTGTTTTCAACTGGCACAACAGCCCATGCTAGAGGATATATTTGGTTGTTTGCGTCCCTACCAATGGCTGTTAACAACTCACCTCTACAAATACCCTTCAAAAAACAACAACCATCAACACCGATAACCCTTCTACATCCTTCAATCCAGCCATCCTTGATAGACTTCAGGCAAATATACATCCTTTTGACGTAGTGTGTAGCATCAGGCGTATGATTTGTCTCGATCAAGACTATTGACCCAGGATTAACCCTCAATAACTCAGCACCATAATTCCACAATTTCTCATAATGGCTTACCAAATTGCCTGAAATCTCATCTAGTGCAAAGTACTTGGCATTTCTACACTGCCCAAGACTTACCTTGAGACCATAGTCTTTCCTAACCACTTCTGCCATTTTCCTATAGCTAAACTTAGGCCTTTCCAAAATGTCAGGTATTAACATTTTTCCAATCCACTTATACATAACAAGACAACCCAATTTTTGTTATCTAGCACAATTATGTTTATCAATTAGTGACTTGATCTGGAATGAATTTTCCTTGTTCATGGGACTAGCCCATAGTCTAAAAGGGCAAGATGGATTCCCTTTTTCATTTTTACTGCACCTTACTAACAATGCTTTTGCCTCATTTTTTTCATACGACAATGAATAACCCTTAGACACATCATAATTTGTTAACATATGTTTCAGTTCATCTCGATCAGAGAATTTCATACCTAACTCAGGCATCATAGTGTCCCATTTTTGGTTTGGATCGTGAATAGGATATTTTTTTACCTTACCACCAGCTTCTTCCTCTATGCCTCTTTGTGGAATAAGGTTCTTCTGTGACAAAAAAGGATCAACAACTTCAGGCCATTGAATGCCCCTCATCATCAGCTTCATGGTCCACCGATAGATCATCCGATAATACCGAGTCCACATCATCTTCATATGTTTCAGTACCACTATCCCATTCTTCAGCTTTTTCTTCTTCAATCCAATCTAGTAAGGGTTCATGATGGTCATCAATGTAGATACTTATTTGATTATCATCATCATCAAACCCAGCATCAAGGAACCTAACATAATCATCTTCATCCCTGAGCTCCCTTAACCCATCTACGAGGGACCGATTTTTAAGACAGTAATACATATCCCGACATCTATTGTTGATCAATTTTTGGAGATAGGTCTTGAACTTCTTGAAATCCATGTTACGTACATCTAGCCCCATAATAGGTACTTTATCAGGATGAAAGTAAACCAAGGGATTAGGAGAAAAAACACCTTTATGGTAGACATCAATGTTGAGTGAGTCACGAGACACGCCTGCTGCACGAGACATGCTGAGAACCCTTGCTGCACAATCGACTAACTTTCCTTCACCTTCTGTAAAGGATCAATTTCACTGTCACGAGTTCACTGTTCACCATTATGTAAGAACCCTAGATATCGATTTCACCCTTCACTGAGAACCCTTGATGGTGAATCGATATCCTTGTGGCACTTATGTTTGATGTAATGTGTTTTAATAATCCATGTCAGATTATCACCGGTAAACAAAGAATCATAACCCACAGATGCCGGTCACCATTAAAAAAACTTATTTTTATTGGTAACTTTATTTGGATTTATAATAAAAAACATTATTTCGTTGGTTTTTTGTGAACAACAAAAACATAATTGGGGTAATATGAACATTTTTGAAACTTAATTGGTCTTTTAAGGCATTTTCCCAGGTATTTATTTCGTCTAACTTTCTCTCTATAATCGTATCCCATCTTTTTTCTTATCTGATTTGGATGTGCAAGTCATTGAATCATATATCGGTTTTGGTTTGTGGTTTGATGTTGAGTTTGCTTAAATGATTTCTTGAATCAGATTATGTTATTGTTTTGGATGTTTTTCTTGTTGAAATCATTTTGGGTTTCTAAAATCACAGCGCCCACCAAGTGTTTGATCAAATGTCTGATAGGGCATTGGATCTTGGAAGAGACTACTTTATTGTTTATACTTTATAGTTCATCTAACACAATGAAGACTCAAATTTACAAACTTTTCAGGCAAACGGCACCAAACATGTCGAGAAGCATGTAAATTTGAATAAGTCGACAATGCTCTCATTGGTGGCAATTGTTGCAGTGTGTATGTGGCTTTGTTGTTCAAGAGTTCACCTTAGGTTATGAATCAGCAAGCTAAGACAAGTCTAGGATTTCATTTTCTTTTTTATTTGATATAATTCTATTAGTATAGATGGTTATGATTGTAAAATTTATATGTAATGTGTATATGACTCTGTTGATGTTAGTACATATAAATTTAAACCAGGTTGAATAAAAAAGATGTGTTGCATGTATGATACATTTTTAGGATCTTATTTTTGTTTATCTTGCAAAGCCATTGATATATTTTTATTAGATAATTTTGGATGTGATTTATTAATATTGAAATCTAATTATATTAATATATATTAAATGAACTAGGATAAGAATTATTTAATTTCAATGATAATTTTTTTTTTTTAAGTTTTAAAAATCAATTTATTTTAATTATATTATTTTAGGAGTATCGAAAAAAAAACTTTTTTAAGTTTTAAAAATCAATTTATTTTAATTTTATTTTTTTAGGAGTCTGCAGATCTTAAAAAACAAATATTCTTCTTCTTGCAGACTGCATACGTTTGGTCCACTTCTTCTTCTACAGATATCTGCAGATGTGGTCCGCAGAATGCAGACAATTTACATCTTAAAAAACAAACAACACCCAATTGTCATCATCATATTCTACCATCAGCAACCTGTCTTTTAACTCCGCCTCTACTGCACCTACCTTCTGACCAACCACAACCGACATATCTCCCTTCTTGCCGGAAATACGTTAGCCATGAGACACATCCACCTCATCAGAAAATCACAAAAATCGCCACAACATCCACTTTATTGTTCCATTCACGTCACCACTAAGCCTGTTGCCACCACCACTTGTTGCGACACCAACCCTCACCCAAACCACAATGTAGGTAAATTACAGAAGCTACCATATCCTCTAGAGTTGCTCGATTAAAGGCTTGAGTTGAACAAAATGAAGACTTGTAACCCTCAATCTCCATCTCCTAGATCCAAGTTGTGTGTTTTTTTATGAATATAGTTTTAAGAAGAAAATTATTGTATTGGATTCGATCATAAAGCTTATGGCATGCCATCTTCTTCACTAGGCATAAACTCTCCATACCCATTGATGATGCTTAAGAGACTAGTCCAGAAATTAGATTCGATATGGGTTTGAATTCCTTCCAGATCTTTTGTGTGTGTATGTATGTGTGATGTGTTTGTATGTATACGTGAGAAGTTCTTCACTAATAATGAATGCATTTGGGTTTTTTTTTTGTTTGAAATTTCTCATACAAGTCACTGAGAAGATGAATTAAGACAAATTAGATGGGGAGGGGAGGCCGGTTGTTGGTCGGAGATGACATAAAGAAGGGAAACACCACAACATGGATCGATGAGTTAACATTCAGATGGGTTGGGGCATGTCAGATTGATGAATCAAAAAAAGGGAGGGATAATGGAAGGGACTTGCAGGTGTGCGCATGTATGTATTGAGAGAGAGAGAGAGAGAGACAGAGATACAGAGAGAGAGAGAGAGGTTCATGTAGCACCTGGTTCCTGGTACGTAAAATTTATCTTAGTGCTTTTCATTTTTAGCCTTGGACTTGGCGAGTTGTAGGTCCGACTCGCCGAGTAGAGACGGGATCCGGAACACATTTAAGTTGGCGACTCGGCGAGTCCATATTCTGGACTCGGCGAGCCCCCGCTGTCTGATGAAACCCTAAATTTCAAGGATTTGCACCCTATTTAAACGCCCTTATCCGCCCCTAAGCTCGCCCCCTTCACCCTCAGAGCCTTATACTTCGTTCAAGCCTGTTCCTTGTGAGATTGAAGTATTTTGGCGTGTTTCTTGAAGATTTGGAGAGGGAAGAAGAGTAGATCTAGAAGAGAAGAAGGAGACCAGGCATATTGGTGTTATCTCAGTTATTTCCTTGAGGTATAACTCAGTTTCCCCGTGTTTTCATGCTTATTGTCCCTTGTAGCTCCATAAAAGTCCTTCTTGAGCCTTTTTCCCAAGCTTGTTTGTGTTTTAGGGTTCGTAATAAGTTGTTTAGCCTCTAGATCTAGGCATGATTGAGCTCCAGGAGCTTGGATCTACTGCCTTTATGGAGCCATAGTGCATGAAAGCCCTATATCTACTCTTTTGGTGAATTTTGAGCCCTAAAACCCTCATGGGTGTTTATTTACACGTCAAGTTGGAAACTTTACGTGTTAATCAGGCCCTAGAAACCCAGATCTATAAATGACATGAGCTGGATTCAAGCAGTATCGCATGTATAGTATTTGCATGGAGCCGACTCAGCGAGTCGTTCATCTGACTCGGCGAGTCGAGTGGCGAGTCCCCTAGTTTTCCTTTTTTATCGTGTTACGGGTTGGAGTGGTGAGTCATGGGGGTGTGACTCAGTGGGTCGGAAGCCAGACTCAATCATGTAGTAACTCGGCGAGTCAATGCCATGACTCGACGAGTCAATGCCATGAATCGGCGAGTTCAAGGCAATCTTCTTGCCTCAAGAATAGACTCATCGAGTTGTTTATACAGCTCGACGAGTCTCAGCATAGAGTGTTCTTCGGATGAAGAAGAACTCGGTGAGTTGTTCATACAACTCGGCGAGTAGGATGAAGGACTATTGGCCTGTAGATTAGAAGGAGAACTCATCGAGTCAATGCTTAACTCGACGAGTAGGGACGGGTTTATGGTCGGACAAAGGGATAGGGACTCGGCGAGTTGGTAAGCCAACTCGGCGAGTCGGGCCATCTGACAGTTGACTTTGACTTAACTCTTAATTGGTAAGGGGTAAATGGTCATTTTAACCTGAGGTCAGTTAGTAGTATTTGACTAAGGGTTTTGTGGGAATTATAGCCGGAGGATTTCCGAAGCGGCAGCAGTCGCAGACAGTCACTTCCCACGTAGATCCGTAGCTACTTTGAGATGAGTTATCTTCCAGTAGCGGTGGGTCTACGGCCACAATGCCAGCCCACCAGTAGGAGTTATATGATAGATGATGGTCTCCGCGATATTGATCTAGGGTTACTACTACCTGTGTTATGTTTATGTGCTAGTATGATATGATGCTATGTGATATGTGTTACGTGGTAGTAGTAGGGGATGAAATAGTCCCCAGTATTCGGTCGTAAGGACCGAAAGGGTACATCGGGCACCCAGATATGCCCGACAGTATCCGGTCGCAAGGACCGAAGGGGTAGGTCGGGCACCCAGATATGCCCGACAGTATCCGGTCGCAAGGACCGAAGGGGTAGGTCGGGCACCCAGATATGCCCGACAGTATATGTATGTTATGTGATTTCATGGTATGTGGTACAGTGGGGGAACTCACTAAGCTTCGTGCT